AAAAAAAAAAAAAAAAATCAAAAACATCTGAAAAAAAGATACGTTATGAAGAAAAAAATATTAAACAAGATCTGCCTGAGCTACATCCAAATTCCCTACCAAATTTGAAATAAAAATAAAATACGAAAAACAAATACTAATTAAAAAAAAAAGAGAAAAAAAGAATTAAATTTCGTGAGTGCGCGAGCATGTTTTCGACACCGCCATATTTGGCGATTTTTTTTTTTTTTTGGCATAGCTAAATGCTCTGAAAATTCACAGATGTGTACTTCACATAATGCAAAACCCACTAAATGTTTCAAAAATAATAAAATTGTTTAGACCCCGAACTCAAGTGAAAACAAAAAGTAAAAAGTGAAAACAAACGTGGGCGAGCACGTTTTGACACCGCCATCTTTGGCGATTTTTAATTCTGATTTGGCTGAGCCAAATGACTTGAAAATTTACAGGCATGTACCTCACGTCATAGAGAACTCACAGAAAAACATTCAGAAAAACAAAAATATTTTTAGGCCCCAGAATATTTTTTGCCGGGGGCCGAAAATCGTCGGGTTCGGACCCCGTACGGAACCCCGAACGCCCGTACGTACAGAGGTCTGCCCAGGGACCTCCGTACGTATGGCATGGTGACCCTGGTCACGAACAAGGAGGCCAACAACCTCCACCGTTCGTCTGCGACGGGCCTGAGCAGAGATCAGCATCGGCCGAAAGTGGCCGTGGTCGCGGTGGCAACGTCAATCAACCAAACTAGCGAGGCCGTGTCCGCCAATGAAGGGGACAGACTCGCAATCGCCAGGGATGGTGGCCGCCCCGACAAAGGCCGAGGATGCGGCAGGACGAAGACAAACACCACATCTAGCCCCGGGCCCGACGCAGCAGCTCCAGCCCCATGGTTCCATTACGGTCTCTCCGAACAGGCGTACAAGGCACGCACGAGATTTCGTTGTTGTCTGTGGTGTAACAGCGATCTCCACGAGACAATGGTCTGCCCGTCGAAAGGCCGGGAGTGACTCGACGACACTCTCAACACCTTCGGAACCGGTCGCTTCGCGGGTGACCGCCCTTCGTTCCGAGGCACATGCGAAAGTCGATAGTCCTCCTCTTCTATATTCTTATGAGGACTACGCTGCCCGACTCGTTCCTACGCTGGGTACTCATGCTCGAGGACAAGACGTGTGTGCGGCATCTTCTCCGTCCAGCAGCGACGACTTATCGTTTGTAAGTGGCTCTTCACGGGATTCGGCACGCGCGTTCAACATAGAGGTATTGGACCTGCTCACGTCCGAGGATTTTGCATGGCTTCCTCTGCCGACCGGGCCGCTTGCCGGGACCGCAATGTGCAGCATTATGCGCTCATCTTGACACGTATCTATCCTTCTATGCACCACCAACTTCGCCGACGGATGACAAAGCTGCGGTGGGGGACATCCTTGCGTATGTTACCAAGGTGGCCCGCGAGTTTCGCAAGCAGCGGTACGAGGACAACAACGCACCGCTCCTCTATGTCCGCACCCAAGTTAGGCAAGCGTCCTGCAGCGCTTTGCTGGATAGCGGCGCGTCTTGCAACTTCATAAGCCAAGCCTTTATGCAAAGGGCTAGCCTTGGCACACAAGTTTGGAGGAAGGCAAACCCGACGACGATCAAGTTGACGGACGGAAGGACGCAGCAACTTATCGACCGCTACATCAAGGCCGTACCGGTGTATTTCCCACCTCATGCATGTGAACCGGTGACCTTCGACATTTTGGACACATACTTCGACATTATTTTGGGAATGCCTTACGGTCCGTCGTGGTAGCCGACTCTTGTCTTCGGACCCCCGTGTGGTGTGGTTGCTTGACGAATTCGCCGCCATCTTCGAGTCAACTACCGGAGTGGTGCCGGATCAACCGATCTCTCACGAGATCATTCTCGAGGCCGGTGTCGTGTCGTCGAAAGGGTGCATTTATCGCATGGGCGAGGAGGAGCGTACGGTCCTTCGCGCGCAACTCGATGAATTGTTGGACAAGGTCTCGATCCGCGCTAGTAGCTCTCCATATGGAGCACCAATTCTCTTCGTATGGAAGAAGAATAAGGATCTACGTTTGTGCATCGACTACCGCAAGCTCAACGCGCAAACCGTCAAGAATGTCCTCTTCCTCGTATCGACGATCTTCTTGAGCGATTGGGTGGCACAAAGTATTTTTCTAAGTTGGATTTGAAGTCGGGATATCATCAGATCTTTATCCGACCAAACGATCGCTATAAATCCACGTTCAAAACGCGATATGGGCATTTTGAGTGGGTGGTCATGCCTTTTGACCTCACCAACGCCCCGACGGCCTTTCAAGCGGCAATGGCCAACGAGTTCAGTGCGATGTTGGACCGGTTCGTGCTGGTCTACTTAGACGATATTCTCGTCTATAGCCGGACATTGGAGGATCATCTTGGGCACCTTCGACGAGTGTTGGAGACGCTCCGCCGCGCCAAGTACAAGGCCAACCGTGACAAGAGCGAATTTGTTCGACAAGAGTTGGAATACTTGGGCCGTTTTGTCACACCGGAGGACATCAGTCCGTTATCGGACTAGATTCAAGCCATCCAAGAGTGGCCGGAGCCGCAGAACGTCACGGATGTCAGTTCGTTCCTTGGCCTTGCCGACTACTACCAACGTTTTATCAAGGGATACTCGAAGATCGCGGCCCACTTGACCAAGCTTCAATGTGAGGATCGGCCGTTTGACTTCGGAGAGGATGCGTGGGAATCATTTTTGGCTCTCAAAGCCGCGCTATTATTTGCGGAGGTCTTACGCATATACGACCCGCTATTGCCTACGCGCGTCACTACGGATGCGTCCGACTATGGCATTGGTGCCGTCCTCGAACAACACAACGGCGTGGGTTGGCACCCGGTCGAGTACTTTAGGAAGAAAGTGCCCGTCGTGCACTCCATTGATGATGCACGCAAGGAGCTCCTCGCCTTCTTCCACGCGCTCAAGCGGTGGCGGCACTTCCTCCTTGGTCGAAGCCAATTCCGATGGGTAACGGACAACAATCCGTTGGTCTTCTACACGACCCAAGACACCGTCAATAGCACTATCGCCCGATGGATGGCTTTCATCGACCAATTTGACTTCTTTCCCGATCATATTCCGGGGAAGTCAAACCGTTTTGCGGATGCTCTTCACAGCGTCCGGATCATTGTACTGCAGTCTACTTGACCTTCGAGATCGGCGACGACCTGCGGGACAGTTTCATTCGCGGTTACCAAGCCGACCCTGAGTTTCGTGACAAGTACGTGAATTGCTCCTCTCCTAATCCGGTGCCTTCTCACTACCGGATCCAAGAGGGGTACTTGCTTGCACACGCGGGGGAAGGACCTTCTTTGCGTACCGAGTGACTCTCACTTGCGTACACGACTTCTTGGTGAGTTCCATGATGTCAATCGCACAATTGGCCGACTTCGCGAGCGATTTTGGTGCCCCGGTCTTCTCAATGACGTCACACGCTACTGCGAGTCATGCAAGGTTCGCCGACGCTGCGAATCCCGCAACCATCGTCCGTACGGCGAGTTGCGACCGCTACCGGTCCCCTTGCGCCGAAGGGAACCGATTGCCATGAACATTACCGGGTCGTTTCCCAAGCACAAGACCGGAGTGGATGGGATTCTCTCGGTGGTCGACCGACTCACCAAGTTTGCCATGTTTTTGCCTTGCCGCTATCATGCCAAGGCACCGGAGTCGGCCGAGGTTCTTTACGCCGGTTGGATTCGAACCAAAGGTTACCCCAAGCAAATCGTCTGCGACCGCGACACTCGGTTCATGTCCGATTTTTGGTTGGCGCTCATCAAACGATGGGGCTCATCTCTCAAGCTAAGTTCAGCTCGCCACCCCCAAACCGATGGCCAAACGGAGAGGACGCATCAGACCGCACAGGTTCTCCTTCGCACTCTCATCCACCCCGACGAGAAGGATTGGGTTGAGCGGCTGCCGGATGTCAAGTTGGCCTACAACTCGTCCATCCACCCGGCTATCGGGATGTCGCCCTTCGAGTTTGAGCACGGCTCGCCGATCACTTCGCCGTTGGACACAATCATTCAACGAACGGCCGAGAGCGACGACCATCTTCCTTTCTTGAATCGGATGCAAGAGCTACTTGTGAAGGCACGCGACCAGATGGCCAAGACGCAACAACGCATGAGCCAACAAGCCAATCGCCAGCGTCTTCCTTTCCCCTTTCGCGTCGGCGATCAAGTTTGGGTTTCCGTCGCGGAATTCAGCCTTGAACAAGATATCTCTCGCAAGCTTCTCCCGAAATGGATGGGGCCCTGGCCGATCGTGGCACCAGTTGGGGATGCACCCGAGGGACCTTCCTTCACTATTCAGGTGCCCGCCCACTTGCCAGTCTACCCGGTCTTTCATTGCTCCAAGCTGGTTCTTTACACACCAGTGGAACATGACGATTTTCCCGGACGACGATCGCAAGACCCACCCTCTATGGATGGTTTTCAAGAGGTCGGCGACATCATCTCCCAGCAGCCTACGACAACAGGCCAACCGAGTACTTGGTACACTTTGCGTACTGCAGTCACAAAGTTGACCGTTAGTTGATCCGTGCGGAACTCCAAGCAAAAGCTCCAGATGTTCTCGCACGCTACGAACGCAAGATGCAAGGCAAGTCGGTATCTTCGGCTCCACGTCGCACCCTCGTCCATGTTCCACCTTCAGATCGTCAGCTTCGCCCTCGACCCGGCTTGACTTCATAAGGAGGGGGGGGTGTTACAAGCTGCGCCTGCAACAGGCGGCACAGGCCACTTTCAGGCCCGTGACGTTTTCAGGCCAAAAGCCTGAAAAGAAGGGCCTACAGGCCCCGTGTCGTTTCAGCCTGAAAGCCTGAAAACAAGGGCGTACATGCCCTGTGTTGTTTCAGCCTAAATCAGGCCCTTTCCGGCCCTGAGTCTTTTCAGCTTGAAACTGAGGGCCATTTTCAGGCCCTCGTCAGATCAACTCGCCCTGAAACTTAGGCACCAAACCAGGGTTTTAGCACAGGCCATTTTCAAGACAACCCCTGGTTGAGTTACAACGCCAGGGTCTGGCACGTTTCGGCATTGGCAAGAGTAGCCTCCTGGACGGGCGAGCACTATATAGGACTGGCCCACCCTGCAGGCAAGTAGGTAGTTCCTAGGTACTTCCTAGGCACTTCACGTGCAGTTCAGGAGGCAGGAGGTAGTCTTCAGGATTTGGCAGCAGCACTCTGGAGGAGCGCTGCAGGAGTAGTTGTAGCCCTAGCGATAGTCTTCAGTGCTAGGCGCTAGTAGCGTTAGCAGTAGTCTTCAGTGTTGGGCGCCATAGGAGCTAGAGCAGCACTAGAGAGAGAGAGATTGGGCGCAGGCCAGGGAGACTTACCTGCAGCGCCATAGCTCCAGCTTCGTCCTCGAGGTACCTGCAGCACAGCGCCAGCTTCACAGGTTAGTACCTGGCACGTGAGAGAGAGAGAGAGAGTTCTTCTTCCTCTTCTCAGTCCACCATCTCCCTCTCACCCTCTTGCGATCTAACTTCACTGCATCAGCAGACTAAGAGAGAGAGAGAGAGAGAGAGAGAGAGAGAGAGAGAGAGAGAGAGAGAGAGCTTGGTGACATTTGGATCCGGACTCGATGTTGGGCTTCAAACATTTTGACGAGGGATTATTTGGTGTAACGAAGATTTGGTGTTGACGACTTTCCCATCTCCCCCCTCCTCTTCTTCGTCTGTTCCCCTCCTCTTCGTTTGTGCATGATCAGGACCTGGCTCATTCTTCCTGTGTGTAGTGCCAGGCCTCCTTCACACCTCGTGATGAAGATGATGTATGTTCAGTCTGCATAGCAACATTGATTGGGCTCGTCATTGGTATTCTAGCATTCTGCTGCGTTATCTTGTACTACGTGAGAGAGGTCAGTCTCGGTCAGGTCAGGACTTGTATCTAAGTCTTCCCCTGCGCTATAAAGCACCATCTTTGTATGTATCAGAATGTACATTGCTTGTTGAGATTCTACTTCCACTGCATTGTCCATTCAGTCCTTTTCATCACACTGCGGATCCTCGGTTATATATGGGCATCGCCCAGCTGGGAAGAAGTACCATGTGACTCTTGGGAATACCAGCTACCCATCCCCACGTTAATACTCCCATCGCACCCCCTGTCCCAACTATCCTACCTCAGTGTGACCAGCACTCAGGACCATCACCCTACCAGTATCGAGGGCAACTTGGACCAGACAACAGTGACAAGCAACAAGGCTGGCCCAACCTCCCAGCCCTAATGGGAGGGCAACTTGGACTAGATAGCAGTGAGAAGCACCAAGGCTGGGCCAACCTCCCAGCCCTAATGGAAGCGGAAGCGGACAAACCTTGCCGTACGGGAACTTCGGACGCCAGGCTCATGCAATCTCCTACAGGCCCATTTCAAAGAAACAGCAAAGCAGGATTACCTAAGCAAGGCAGGCCAGCGCCCGCGGACACATCCTACCGTCCTTCCCCTAGCTTACCCAAGGCTAGGCCGAACTCGGACTAGATGGAGCGACTTATATCCCTACCCTACCCTAGAGCTAAGTCATGCATGAGTAGACCCCATCATATACCTGATAGACCCCCCCAGCCCAGTATCGTAGTTGTGTGTTTGTGTGTGTGGCCAGAGGCTATGTATGTTTGTACAAGCCCATAGGGCCATGTTTTTTTTGTGTGTCTGACCGAAGGCTATGTCTGCTCTATGTAACTGTATAGCAAGATGTGTGTGCCTGAAGGCCAGATATGTGCACTACTGTGTAGAGGGAACTATACGTTCGTTTGAGGAGATGACAGGCCAAGTTGGACAAGAGCCCCCCCCCCAATTTGAGCGACAATCGCAAACGACCCCTGTGTGTGATCTGCTAGACTGGGGAGATCAACAGAACATCCACGAGCAACAGCCACAAGCAACCCGCGCAGCATCAAGACCCGACATACAACACCATGGACAACCCTTGGCTGGTGCACAGACAGTGTCTGTATAAGCTTACCGTGCATCAGCCCAAGGGGGGGGGTGTCCAGCCGTGCGTCATTCTAACGCCCTACCGGTGTCCATGTGCAAGGCTGCAATTGAGTTTTGGACCCGCAACCTCATACCACAATGCGCATTTCAAACCGGTGCTCTAACCACTGAGGTACATCAACTGGTTGTCTGCAACTGTCGGGCAAACCGGGTGAAAACGTTTCAACCGCATGTGACAGGGCTCATCCCTGATGAGGGAAAACCCAAAAGGATTGCTCCCTCTTTCCCATGTTAACCCGCAGATGCGCTGTCGGGGCAGAAACCCTGACAAGGGTATCTGCCCGTGTTTTTCAACGTCGGATGTTGTCCGACCTTTCCACTAAATTGGAGGACTTGATGAGATTGACGTTGCCAAAGTCTATTCAGACCAGCGCTATGATTGAGAGACCTAAACTTTTTTTTGAACCTGACGTCGTCGACGCAGGACGACATCGACGTCCGTGCGGGATAGCGGGAGTCGGCACTGTCGTCCGCGGGTCTCGACGAGGCCGCAGTAGTGTGCGGTCATGGGAAAACTAAAGTTAAAGCCTAGGCTACCTATAATAAGGTCGCGCGGCTGTTAAGCCGCGCGATTCAGAGCCTAAGGGGGCTAAAAAGGGGTCGCAGCGGTAAGGATGGACTGCGGCGTGGAGGAATGGTTTAGGGCCCATAGGGCTTTGGCGTCGGGGCCGGCTGGGTAGGGCAGTCGTTGAGGCTGTCGGCTGCCGGCCTCGCCTGCCAGCCACGGCGGCAAGCCGGCTTAGCAGGCTTAGCCTGCTAGGCGTTGGGACGGGGCTTGCTGGGCACTAGGAGCCCTTCATATAGAAGGGCCGCTCCTTTCCTGATGTGAAAGGGAGCTAGCCCAGTAGGTACCGTCGCCAGATTATCACCCCGCAGACATGGGGATCAAACCTGACAAACTGCACTACAGGGCTAGCTCCTTTTGGAGCAGCCCGCGACTTGACAAGAGGTGCGGCCGATTTTCGGCCGAGCGATCTTCGAGATCGCGCGGCTGAAATCAGCCGCGCCGGGGTGATATAGCCTCTGTGCGAGGATGACACGCATAAATCGAAAGATGGTAAGTTTAAAAATTTAATTTTGGGAAAAAAAAAAAAAAAAAACTTTGAAACTTTACCTGTCTCGTAGCTGGACGCATAAGCGCCCAGATACTAGCTTCGTGGAGGTCACATCACCAAGGTAAGTCGCTGTCTCTTCCTTTTTGTTTTTGTTTGTTTTTTTTCTCTCTCTTTTCTTGTGTCATCGGGGCAAAACGACCCGACGGGAGGTAACCGTTGGAAAAAAAGAAGGAAAAAAAAAAACTAAAAACTAAACTAAAACTAAAGGAAAGCGCCATCTAGCGCAGGGAGAACTGACGGGGACTTAGTGTCCCCACGAAAAGTAACGGGCGCCCGTTTTTCGGGCAGCCCCTTCAATTCGAACTAGGGTTTTTAAAATTTATTCCTTCTTTTTTTCTCTTCTTTAGATTTTGTTTAGATTTTTGTTAGATTTTCTTTTTAGATTTTTTTCTCTCTTCTTTTTCTTTTTCCTTTTCTTTTTTTGGTCTGAAGATTCGTTGAGCGCCCATTCGTTCTAGACAAACGGGGCAAGAAGTCTGGCTGCGCCAGACTGTTTCGTCGGACTTCCACCGACTCATCAGGAGGCTGACCCTCGACAGTTGGCCAGCCGACTGTATCAGCCGCATAAACGCGGCTATGTGCGGGCCGAATCTCTCTCAGGGAGAGAGAGAGGGGGACGTGACTGTGCCAGACCGTTTCGTCGGACTTTCACCGACTCATCAGGAGGTTGAACCTCGACAGTCTGCCCACGGGCAGCGAATATGCAGCCCTAGGCGGCCAGGTTCAGAGAGAGAGAGAGAGAGGGACCATCTTACCTGCGCCCGTTGGATTTTGGGACGGGCTGCAGCGTTTGCCTGCGCGCCCAAACCTGGCGCTGAAAGCGTCCGGGTACGGGCGCGGGGCAAAGGGGGGAAAGAAGGCCCTGTTGAGCTTGACTCTAGTTCGACTCTGTGAAATGATTTGGGGGGGGGGGGGGGGG